AGGGTTTCGGGTTTTAGGGTTTTAGGGTTTCAGGGTTTAGGGTTTTGGGTTTTAGGGTTTTAGGGTTCAGGGTTTTGGGTTTTAGGGTTTTAGGGTTTAGGGTTTTGGGTTTGAGGGTTTTAGGGTTTAGGGTTTTGGGTTTTAGGGTTTTAGGGTTTTGGGTTTTGGGTTTTAGGGTTTTAGGGTTTAGGGTGTTGGGACCTGTAGGGTTTAGCGCTTTAGGGTTTAGGGTGTTACGACCTGTAGGGTTTAGCGTTTTAGGGTTTAGAGTTTCAGGGTGTTTTAGTGTTTGGGGTTTTGGGACCTGTAGGGTTCAGGGCTTTAGAGTTTCGGGTTTTAGGGTGTTTTAGTGTTTAGGGTTTGGGACCTGTAGGGTTTAGGGTGTTAGAGTTTCGAGTTTTAGTGTGACCTGTAGGGTTTAGGGTTTTAGGGTTTAGAGTTTTATGGTTATAGTGTTTAGGGTTTTGGGGTCTCTCTAGATTTGAATGTTGGAGGTCTAGGGCCTTTGGGGTTCTCCCTGTTCCTGCATTGCTGTGCACCTTATAAAGACCAGCGACTTCGCTAGCAGCTTTCTGTCTCTAAATCTTCGTGCCCACTTACGTGCCCCAGGTACGAAGTCATGTATACATGTATGTATGTATGTATGTATGTATGTATGTATGTATGTATGCATGCATGTATGTATGTATGTATGTATGTATGCATGTATGTATGTGTGTGTATATGTATATACCAATGTATACTATATTATCTTTTATGTATACGTACAGACATAGTTTGAGAGGGTAGGGCTTGACAGGTTCCCCGTCTTGCATTTTTGTATGTCTCTCTAACGATGGATATTTATATATACAGATGTATACGGATCTAACACACTGTACATCTGTCTATCTTTCGTTTATCTACCTATCTTTATTTCTATCTATCTGCAGATCTATATATCTATCTATCTGTATCTATCTATCTATTCATCGATCCATCTATCTATCGATCTGCATATCTATTATAATTACAACATACAATGCTCAGCTTTTGAAGGATCTGAACCAAACTCCCCCCCCCCCCAAACCCCCTTTGTCAACCCTACGAATGTACTGCCCCTGAAACTCTTTCCTGAAGAACTCCAAGCTTAACGCGGCAACCTCCATATCCACCTTCAAGCCACATGAAGCCACAACAGGACATGGATGAAACCCTTTTTAAACCCTGGCTGAAACCCTGAAACCCTGAAACCCTGAAACCCTAAAACCCTGAAACCCTGAACCCTTTAAATGTCAGGAGGGTCTGGGGACCCGCGTACTGGCAGCGACATGCCTACTCCGCCGACGCGCCTTTCTGCTCTTGGTCAGGCGCCATTTGGGTGTGTCAGATCTATTGTACTCTACTGTATAGGGTACTAGACTCCTGAATCTTAAGCCCTTAGCCACTTATACCCCGAAACGACACTCCAAAGAATGAAAGCCGTCACCCCTGAATCTCAAGCCTACTTTATATTAAAGAAGCCTCAATAATTACCAATATTACTGTTACGGCTCCGTATTTTAACTATACTATAAAGGAGCCCTATTCCAATTATTAAGGCCCCTACAGTATAAGCCTTCAGCCGTAACCCCCCCTATTAGGTGTAACCTGCAGCACCGCGAATGGTCGGCCGAGAGCAACCTGGCGATGAGCGGTTTAGAGTTTAGGGTTTAAGGTTTAGGGTTTAGGGTTGAAGTTTTGCACGGCTTGTAATGTAGGGGCCTCAGGAATTTCCAATACTATTTTGGGGGTTCCTTATAAATATTTATTGGGCCCCAAAAACCTTATTCTAATTATTAAGGCCCGTATAGTACGTGAGTTCTTTACGGGTTCTGCACACGGTTTCCATGGGCTCTAGAACCGATCAAAATAGCTCAAAGCTTGATATGATATGGTCTTTGGAAGCAAAAGCCTTGAAATCTGAGTCCTTAGTGCCTTAGGGTAAAGTTTCTACATACATCGGTTACAACATGATCTGCAGGAGTTCTTCGGTTTAGGGGATCTCAAAAGCTTGTTCCTAACACAACCCCGAACACTTAACATAGAAGCCCAAATAATTACCAATGCTATTCTAGGGTTCCCTATTATAACTATACTATAAGGAGCCCACAACCCTATTCTAATTAAGCTTCCACATTAAGAACAAATGCCTGCCCTTGTTTGACAATTGTGCCCCCAGGTGTTTTTGAAGATGTTGGTTCTACTTGGAGTCCAAGGGGGGCCCAGAAAGTGCAAGTCTCGGCTCGGGTTGCGACACTAATATGAAGCAGACACCCGATTAATCAACCCCCCACTCTTCAAAGCACCCTGGCTTTGGATCCCTATTGAAACGGGGTTTTTGTGTGCCTGCTAGCAATGCGAGCCGCATCCAGGTTTAGGGTTTAGGGTTTATAGTTTAGGGTTTTAGGGTTTAGGGCTTGGGGTTTAGGGTTTAGGGTTGTGGGCAACAACCCCTCCGAGCGACTCTCCGGTGGCCCACGCTGTCGTCATCATGGGGCAGGGCGGTATCCCTTACTGAAGAAAGGGGAGTTTACAAAAAGTCGGTGGTTCAGATTACACAACGACCGTGCCCGCTGCATGTAGGCCACTGGGCTTCTAGGGATTCAGACTAGAGCCCTCAGAGTAGCCCTTAAGCAACAACACTTGAAAGACACAACTGCGCTAAACCAAAAGCACTTGAAAGACAAAAAAACACTTACCTAACCCGCCAGGTACTTACTATATAGGGCCCCGGGGGCTCTAGTGCCCTATATAGTAGGTACCTGGGGGGTTAGGGACTTACATTGGCCCCTTTAAAACACTGTCGGACCCGATGCAATCCTATCAGAACCCAAAGCCGAAATCTACAAGCAATTCATAACGGCCTTGTCTAAACGACCCTCAACAGCCTAAAGCCTAAACCCTCAGCCCTAAACCCAAAACGCTGAACCCGAAGCTTTGGCCCTCCGAGCCTAAACCCTGCCTCTCGCCCAATAAACCTGCCTTTCCAGGATTTCTTTTATGTTTTCTTCATATACTTCCTTCAAAAGCCAGGATTTTGGGGCATACAGGCAACCCTTAGAAAAGGGACCCTAAAGACATTCAGGTAGTGAGGCTCATCCTCGAGGATGCTCTGATGCCGCTCGATCCTTCGAGGTGATGACGGGGTCCTTCAGGCTTGCAGGGTCTTAGAACTGTTGAAGGGGGTACGGTTGTGGGCAGGGCTTATGCTGGCTTTTCGTGGGCGTTTGGGACGTTTAGGACTGTGCCTAAGTGGTTTATACGTCACTTAAAACCGAGATTCGGACCGAGATGCTCTCTCACCTATCTCCGTTATCTTCAACCGGGCCACTGTGTATAGTCTGTCTGCATGGAGATGGTTTAGCGATCGGGGCGCTACATCCTCAAGGACCAACTGACCCCGGAAAAGTCTGGGGCCTTATGTTCCATGTTCGAAAACTACGTGCGACATGAACCATACTATAGGGTTCATGTCGACCATAAATGTTCATACGGTTTTGTCCGGTTCATGTCGTCCCTGAGGTATTTCATTTTAGGGTACAACAGAAGGCTTAATTTAGGTTGCAGGCTTTGGGGTTTACGATTTCAGGAGTTCGGATCGGGAGAGGGCTGCTCCTGTATTGATGCCGCAATGCTTCCCGTTTTTGCTCGCGCCCCGTGTCACTGGTCCCTAGAATTGTTTTTACTGTCCACGCCGGGCGTCCAGAGTGTTTTTTTTTTGTTTCGCCCCGTTGGGGCTCCGCCCAGAGTGTGTTTTTTGTTGCGCCCCGCTGGGCTCCACAACCTTACTTCGGCGGAGAAAACACACTCAGGACGTCAGGCGTGGACAGTAAAAACAATTCTAGGGACCAGTGACGCGGGGCGCGAACAAAAAGGGGCAACCACAACAACAAGAGACACCCTGGCCGGATGCATGGCTCGGGGTTCAGGGTTTATCGGGTTCTTACGCAGGTCTCTTTTCTGGTGCGGAGGGTACACTGTAGAGTTCAGATTCCGGCTTCGGAGTTTCCAGTCGACCAGCACAGGGGGTCGGAATATTTTTAGGTTTGATATCCCCTTGCAGTCCCGCATGTAGTTATAGTCATGGTAGTTGATCCTGCTATGACTTATCCCAGAACCCTATTCTATTTGTTAGTCTGCTGTTACGCTAGTGCGTTTGGTCTGGGCTTAACTGCAGATACTCGTATGCACGAACCGGAAGCTTGGGCAGGTGTTGTTTTTTGCTTTTTCTGGTTTAACAAGCTTTGTGTATCTTAGGACGCTATAAACTAGCCAAAAAAAGAACTGCAATGGACACTATAGGTACTTGGGTACATGGACCAACTGCAGTCGGGCTTTCCGGGGCTTATCCAGCCCGAAGTTCCGTAGTTCGGAACGCTTCAAGGATGAGGGGACATATATACCCTAGCCCCAGGTACCTACTATATGGGGCCCCAGGGGCTCTAGTATCCTATAGAGTAGGTACCTGCGGGTTTAGGGTAACTAGGTTCTGCAACAGTTCCCTTTTGCTGCTCTTCATTTCTAATGTTCAAAAAGGGAAAACGAATACCAGGAAGAATGGCACCCTTGTTATGAAGGGTTTTGTGGGGAACAAAGCCAGGGTGCCTAGCCTAGAAGTAAGGCAAGTATCTGCAGCTACACACCTGCTCAAAAACCCCACTCAAGGTGATATAGGGATCAGACAAGTGACAAGCAAGAGTATCCCGACGTAGTCCTTACATATTACATCACAGTACTATATGACAGACCCCAAGTTGCCCAACCCGATTCG